TGTAATTTCGCAACTGCTTGGTCTCGCGGTTCGAGATAGGTTCGCAAGCACGATACCTCTGCGCCGGCTGACCACCCGTGCTCGTCCGAGGAGGGAGACTTTTTGCCCGGTACACATGTGGCTAGCGGCGATGGCGATGGCGATGGCGATTCGGCTCCGATAAAAGACTGGCCCGTGGTTCGGCAAGTTGAGCGAATCGCGTGTGCGATGGTGCGCACATCCGCGCGTACCGCCAACCTTCCTCCCGCCCTTTCCGTTTCACGCTGCAGTTGGAAGATAAAGAGAACGGACTCGAATTACCCATCGATCCGATTTCCGATTTACGATCGAACGACACGTTTCGGGTCACCGAGGGACCGCTCGTAAAAGGCGAACGATTTGTTTCGTCTAATAGGTGAAAACATTGGCCGACCGCGATAAATTTTCTTCTCCAGGTCCTGTCAAACTAACGTGCCCCGGACTCCGAATTGAAGAGAGAGGGTTTACTTTTACGAGCCATCGCGTCGCTCCAGAGAAATAGAATGAAGTTTTCTATACTTAAGGACGACCAGACCCTTTTCACTCTCCGTCGTCTCGTGGTTCTGGAGTGCTGTCAGCCGCTGCGACGTGGCAAGAGGGGTAAAAGTGGTCGACTCCATACCGATAGAGTTTCTCGTCCCTGCGTTCTCTCAAAGTAGCTTTCCTGCCCGTTTGCTTTTTCTTACGTTCGGTTCGTTTGACACTTGATAGCGCTCGTAGCCTAGCGCAGACCGAGGCATTCTTTTCTTCCTTCTCTACGTGTCTAGCCCAGCTTCTTGCCGTCCGATGCCATCTTTCCCGTTTGATAAATCACTACCGGAAATTCCGACAAAAACCGCATCGCGCTCGTTCGCGCTCGTTCGCGCTCGTTCGCGCTCCAGATACTTAATTGCCGGCTAGCAGCTAGCATCCGCTTCTTTCTTCCTATTTTTCCCCATCATCGCTATCGCGAGCATCGCGATATCGGCCCGTACCATCTCCCTTTTCTCTGCTCGTCGAATCATAAATTTCGAGGCGCGCGTCGAGGAGCGCGTCGAGGAGCGCGTGCTGCGACCAGCCGAGACAGAGGCCTCTTTGTTTTCAGGCCCGTTTATTTATCCGTCAACAGTTACACCCCGGCACGGGGAATGGAAATCTCAACTTGGCTTTCTCCTACTTACCTAAGTATGTATCTGTCTATGTACTGGATTCCGACGAATTTTCGACAAAATCAGCTTTCACAATGATCTCAGAATCAAATCTATCTGTCAAATCATTGTGAAAACCAGTTTCGTCTTGATATTTTCCGCCTGTCCTCGTTCTCGGTTCTCCCTACAATTTCCTGCCAAACGAAAACGCATTTCGCAGAGGGCCCAAGCCACTTTTTGCCTCGCTAATAACCGAACGTGAGAGGATCGATCGACGTATAACATATTTTGCACGTGCGCTATCGCCGGCTCGATAACGAGTTGACGGTTACACCGAGCCCTGATAAAGATACGACGTGACCCTGCGCAACCCCGTTACGATTCCGTGGAAGCGGCCGAAACGAAGAAAAAGACGGTCGCGAAACTTAACGGCAAACAGGGATCATCCCGAGAATATTGTACACAAGTACATATACGAGGCTCGATATCGTAACGACACCCAACACGCCTATTCGATCCTTCCGAGAATCGAGCTTTATCTAATTCTCCTTTGGTTGCTCGTCAAAATTAACGAGCTAGGATTAGCGGAATGTGTTCGGGAAAGGGAGTGTTATCGGGACTGGCAACTATCGTTACTATCAATTTCATTAGTCAGACCGAATATCTCTTATCTTTCCCAACTTTCTACATATTTGGCAGAAAAGCGTGCTTGGCAACGTCTGCTTGATCAACTACCTTACCTACCTGATCAACCTGAAGTAGTAGGTTTGGCGTACGTTGAGCGTAGGTAAAGCAGAAAATGCCAAGATAGAATTATCAACCGCTGATTTCCGTCCTGGCTTACTCGCACCGACTAACTGTGGTGACTGTCGGTATTGCAACAGGGCAGTAACCAAACGAGCTTCGTTACCGACGCCGTTCTACGTTACCCGCCGTAGAAACGTCAGCCGGGTGCGTGTACGGCCGCGTACGGTCGTGTACGGCCGTGTAAATCTCTATGATTTCAAACCACGCGATCACTTTGATCAAATGGATTTCGCTGCCGCTATTGTGTTCCTTCTTTCGTTGCCCCGAACGTCACGTGCAACGTGATAGAAGAAATGGTCTCTCTGGAAAGGTTTTCTACATTGGTTAGGTTGGTTGCAGCAGGATGGAAAGAGGGATTGGTAGAGGAGAGCGAAGGGCGTAGTAAGAGGAAGAGGCGTAAAAGTCATTCAGACCACCGTCGAGCCATTGATAGAGGCGACGAAGCGAGGTCAGCTATTTGTACGCGTGACAGACCCCTCCAGAGAATCTCGCGTGTATAGATGTTCGTACACTCGTGCGCTGGTACGCTCGTACGCTCGAAAAGCACATGATTCGCGATATTATTTTCGAATCGTTTCACTTCGACGAGTAATCGAAACAACGACTCGATTCTGTAACGGGTCTTTTCCATGCAAGACCAAACGCGAAGAACACCTTGAGAAGGCTGCCACCACAACTCTTGGAATTCGCTTCTCCCCGCGGCATTCCGAGCAAGCCAGAGAGAGAGAGAGAGAGAGAGAGAGAGAGGAGCGAGCCGAGGGACGGAGTGAAAAAGAGAGGAAACAAGTGAAGAGAAAAGTAACGCGGCGAATAACTACGCGTGCGATCCGAAAGAACCGTAAGTTTGACGGAACTCGCCGCTCGTTACGGGCGGAACTATGGGAAAATAGGACGATGGCCTTCTAGGAGGGACTGACCGTTGGTTGGTTCGTTCACCGATGAAATTCGCGACACGTTCTCATTCTCGAAGGAAAAAGACGGCTTTC